AGACGAAGATCCAGAAGCAGCAGCAGCAGCAGGTGTGGTGTATCTACAGCCACCAGCAGCAGCAGAAGCAGAAGATGCTCTATGGGTAGGTAATTTGCTGCAGTTAGTACAAGGAGGAGGAAGAGGTGTATTCCGTGCTGCTGCTGCAGCAGCAGCAGCAGCAGCAGCAACAAGACAGACAACAAACAAAAGGCAGCAGCAGCAGCAGCAGCAGCAGCTAATGCATCTATGGGGTACACCTAAGGAGGAGACAATCTGCTGTGTCTGTGGGGAATCAATTAGCGAAGAAGACGAAGCAGAAGCAGCAGCAGCAGCAGCAGCAGCAACTGCAGCAGCAGCAGCAACTGCAGCAAATGCAGCAACTGCAGCACCAGCTTGTCTTCATAAGCTACACAATTGCTGCCGCGAGCTGCTGCTGTCTGAGGGCAGCTGCTGCTGCCCTTGTGCTGCACTCTGGCCTCCAAGTAGCTGTACTGGGCATGCAGAACAGCAGCAGCAGCAGCAGCAGCAGCAACAGCAACAGCCGCAGCAGCAGCAGCAGCAGGAAGCTATGGTACCATCAGACTCTTTGCGTCAATTAATCCTAAAGGTCTGCGAAGGTATACTAGAGGCATATGGTTTGCTGCAGCACTTGCATGCAACAGCAACAGCAGCAACAGCAACAGCAGCAACAGCAGCAAGAGGAGAGCGCATGCAGCCCCAAAAAGAATTAATATTTAATATAAAGGCAGAAGATATAATTATTTATATAAATAAAGAAGGAATTCCTTCTGTATGTATAGATGTAGCTTCTCCTCGTTTGCTGCGTCAGGCTCTCCTTCCTACCAGCAGCAGCAGCAGCAGCAGCAGCAACAGCAGCAGCAGCAGCAGTATGCTAGCTACTGTATTAGAGGAAATTGTTGCGCTGCTCCTTACTAGAGGAGCAGCAACTAATGCACATCTAGGGGAGGAGCTCCCTCTTGTTGCTGATTTATTTAGGGCTATATGGAGGTGTCCTAGTACAGATGCAGCAGCAGCAGCAGCAGCAGCACCTGCTGCTGCTGCAGCTGCAGCAGCAACAGCAGCTGCTGAATACTGGCAAAGATGCTGCTGCAGACCCTTCTTCTGGAGCAGCAGCGAGAGACTCAGCTTCCTGCAGGCAGCACTGGCCTTAGCACATATACCCCCGCAGCAACAGCAGCAGCAGCAGCAGCAGCAGCAGCAGCAAGAGCAGCAGCAAGAGCAGCAGCAGCAGCAATTGGTTCTGCTGCTTGTACAGCATGCAGATAAAGTACTTGGTCATCATTTAGAGATAGAAGCACCAAATCTTCTTTTGTCTCTTCTTTCTCTCTCCTTAATACATAAAAATACCATGAATGTATGTATTTATTTATTTATTTATTTATTTATTTATTTGCTGCTGCTCCTGCTGCTCCTGCTGCTGCTGCTGATGCTGCTGTTGTTGGTGTTGGTGTTGTTGCTGCTGCTGTAGCAGCAGCTGAAGGAACAGAGGTTGTAGTTGCAGCAGCAGCAGCAGCAGCAACAGCAATTGCAGATTTATTTTTATTATTAAATAAATAAATAATTAATTAAATATTTTATTTATTTATTTTATTTATTTATTTATTTATTTTATTTATTCTTCTTATTTTATTTATTTATTTTTTCTTTTTTTGTTCTTTTTGTTTGCAGATGTTGCATGCAGCCCCAACATTGGCGTCTTTGCGGCCCTCTCTATTAGGTGTACAATTAGATTAAGTAAATAAATAAATAAATAAATAAATAAATAAATAAATAAATAAATAAAATAAATAAATAAAATAAAATAAATATATAAATAAATTTTTTATAAGGAGGAAGAAGGGATATTTAGGGATTTTATATATATGCATGCATAAAAGGAGGAGGAAGAAATAAATAAATA